CGAGCAGGGAGCCCGATGCGGGACTCGATCCAGGGACTCCAGGATCATGACCTGAGCCGAAGGCAGTCGCTTAACCAACTGAGCCACCCAGGTGCCCGTGGCCCCAGATTTGAACTCCTTTCAGCCCCTGAGGATTGGTAATGTCCTGGGAGGCCTCAGCGTTCGTTTGGGTCATTCAACAAATATTGATTGGACAACTACTACGTATCAGGAACGGGTCCCAGACTGAGAATAGAAACATGACCAATACAAAGGTCCCACCTTCGTGGAGATTATAGTCCAGTGGGGGAGGACAGACAATGGATAATTAGCAATTCATAGGCAAGGTCAAGTTACTGGTAGTGCTATAAAGAGAAATGAACAGGGTAAGGGAATAGAGAGTAGGATAGAAGGAGGGCTATTTATTTAAAAAAAATTTTTTTTTAAGATTTTAATTATTTATTTGAGAGAGGGAGAGAGAGAGAGCGTGAGCGGGGGAGAGGGCAAAGCAGGCTCCCTGCTGAGGAGGGAGCCCGATGCGGGACTCGATCCCAGGACCCTAAGATCATGACCTGAGCCAGAGGCAGATGCTTAACCAACTGAGTGACCCAGGTACCCCAGAAGGAGGGCTATTTAAATAGAATGGTCAAGGAGGAGACATTTGTGCAGACACCTGAAGGAAATGAGGGCACTCCCATATAGAGATCTAGGGGAGAATGTTCCAGGCCGAGGAAACAGCAAATGCCAAGGCTCCAAGACAGGAACAGGCTTGGCATGTTCTAGAAGCAGCAAGCAGGCCAGTGTAGCGAGCACAGAGTGAGCCACATGGAGAAGGGGAGGAGATGAGGCTGGAATCAAGAATGGCCTTACAGAGTACAGATCTTATTCCACAGGTGAGGCCTTTAAGCAGGGGAGTGTCATGATCTGACCTAAGTTTCAAAAAGATCATTGTGGCTCCTTCATAAATTGACTGTAGAGAACAAAGGCCAGGTAAGAATGGTGGAGACTTAGGCTCAAGAGCTAGGGTGGATGGAAGGAGAAATGGTGAACTCAGGGCATGGCTTGAAGGGAGAGCCCACAGGACTGCTGATGGATTGCATGGGTTTGGGGCCAAAGTGCCTGGGGACCTGTTGAATGCCATTCACAAGAGGGCCAGGTGTGTGGAGGAAAATCAAGAGGTCTGGGTTTCACCATATGAAGTCTGAGAGGCTTACCAGACATCTGGGCAGAGACAAGGAGCAGGCAGTTGAATGCATATGTTTGGAGCTGCCAGAGAGTTCTGCCTGCAGATGGACCTTGGATTATCATCAGTGTGCAAATGGTATTCAAATCCCCAAGACACATGAGATCTTTTAGGGAGTGAGTGCAGAACAGTGGTTCTTAACCAGGGAGGGGGGAGCGGCGATTTTGCCCCCCAGGGGATATTTGGCGATATCTGCAGGAACGTTTGGTTGTCAAGACTGAGAGGGGAGGTTGCCAGGGAAGCTGCCAAACATCCTGCAGTGCACTGATCAGCTCCCCATAGCAGAGGATTGTCCAGCTCAAAATGTCAGTAGTTGAGGGGTTGACAAACCCTCGTGTAGATAAGGAAGACGGAGCCCTAGCCCTGTACTTCTCAAACATTTATGGCAGCCAAATCCCTTTTGGTGGTGGGGGTGGTGGGGAGAGGAATTTTGTTAAAATGCAGACTCTAATTGGGCAGATCCGGAGTGGGACTTGAGATTTTGCGTCTAACAAGTTCCCAGGATGTCCTACGATGCAGACTTTGGGAGGAGGTGGGGGAGGGTGAGAAGGACTGGCCAGCAAGTGGACGAAAAAGCAGGAAAACGTGATGTCCTGAAAGACAAATGTACTTATTAAATGCTTCAACTTGTTACATCCTTGACACAGCGAAAGAGCGTCCTATACCACTCAGAATTAGCGAACGTTGAGAACTTACATTTGACCATTGGGTTTGGCAAGAGGGAGGTCATTGATCACCTTGACAGGTGTAGCTTCAGTGGAGTGGGGAGGTGAGAGCCTTACTCTGAGGGAGTCACAGAGAAACGAGGGGTAAGCTAAAATGGGAAGCAGAGAAATGAGGTGGGGTAGCAGGAGGGAGGGGTGGAGTCCTGAAAGGTTTATTTCCTTTTTCGGATGGGCAATAGTATTTTGTACTTTGTGTGGTGATGGAAACCGTACAACAGATAAGGAGGATCTGGTGGTCCAGGAGAAGAGACGGTTACAGTAGCAAAGTCCCTATTTGGCAAGACAAGAGCAGGTGATGGGAGTCAAAGGGTTGGCCTTAGAGCTTCGGTAGTTGCTCTATAATGTAGATACATTATAACAGGGGAAAAGGCCAAGGGTGTGGGCAAAGGGGCAGGCAGGTTGGTAGATTCTGCGTGGAAAGATTTAAAAAACAAAACCAAACTCTGGCTTGTTTCTCTTTTCTCAGTGAAATTGAAGGCAAACTCACCTGCGGAGGGAGCATAGAAAGGGAATGTTGAGGTGTGAGAGATATAAAATACCCATCTGTGAGAGTAGAGAAAATTGGGCCTGCAGTAAAGTGGGATTTAAGGCAAAAAGCATCAAATGGAACCCACTGCCCCTAGAGAATCATCCGTCTCGAACGAATGAAAATCCCAGTTCACGATGCAGCTGTAACAGGATGAACCGTCCTCAGCAGAGTCAGACTGCATGGGCACGGAGAATGTGCTAGCTGTTAGACACAGAATTAGAAACTCACAGAAATACCGCGGCAGCCAGCGAGCTTGACACATCTGCCTTTGATTGGTAGAGTGGGTGGAAAACAAATAAGGATATAGAGAAATGGAATAAAATCCGCTGATGTAATTAGACAGCCAACTTTGTATTTTACAAAGGATGCTTTTCTGTGGTCTCCAAATTTTCTTTAATGGACGTGGCTTACTTTATAAGGGTGGACTGTAAATATTAAGAAAAAAAAAAAAAAGACTTGTAAAGAATAGGCTTTAGGAGCAGATAATGCCCGGAACTACAGTCAGGATCGGGTTTTGCTTTTTTCCTCTATAAAATGGACCTGGCTTCTGCTGCTTTCTGAGGTCAGGGGTGTGTGTTCCAACGTCCACGTCACGCGGAACTGCCCCATGAGAGGGCTTAAGGGAAGCACAGAGCTGTGCTGGATGTTCCCACATGCCCTCTTTGGTTTCAGGCATTTGGCCTCATCAAGGGAACCAAAGTTGGTATTGTCATTGACGTGTCAGCCGTCAGCAGTGGCTCTCAGAAAGAGGAATTCCAGACTGACTTCCTGGTAAGTCTCTCTGGCGCAAAGAAGTACCTGGAACCGCCCCCCCAGCCACACCCCCTCCCCTCTGTGAGCTTGGCCAACTGGCTTTGTTTGTAGCAACTGCAAAATGGGGTGTTCTGCAAAGAACGGTTCACACTTAATTAGCACCTACCGTTAAGGAACTATGTCAAGTTCATTTTCAGTTCCTGTGTGAGCTTCTCGTATCCTCACCACAGCAGTCCCTACTAACTAGACTTTTCCGCAAGGGCCCCCAGTTCCCTGGAAAGAGGATGTGAAGAACAGTAATCGGTTGGACTGACTCCAGCATAGCATGGCACAGGTCTCCTGGCCTTTTCTGGACCCAAGGGCTGTTTCGTTTTCTTTGGCATGTCCAAACAAAGAAGCTAAGAACTCTGGAGCCAGATGACTGGCCTTAAGTCCCAGCCGCCTCTGCCACTTCTGGGCTGCGACCTGCTGCCTAATCTCTCTGTGCCTTCGTTACCTCATCTGTAAAATGCGGATGACAACAGAGGCCACCTACCAGGGCTGCCATAGGATGAAAGGAGTTCATGCAAGCTAAGTGCTCAGAAAAAAAACTTTGTATGTAGCCTCTGTGCGCTAATGTAAGGGGGTTCTTTTCTTATGGGAACGCCCAGAGCTTTGGATGTGATCGTCCAAGGACTCTTTTTTTTTTTTTTAAGATTTTATTTATTTATTTGACAGAGAGAGAGCACATGTGAGTGGGGAGGGTCAGAGGGAGAAGCAGACTCCCTGCTGAGCAGGGAGCCCGATGCGGGACTCGATCCAGGGACTCCAGGATCATGACCTGAGCCGAAGGCAGTCGCTTAACCAACTGAGCCACCCAGGCGCCCCATCCAAGGACTCTTTATAGGGTTCAACATGGGTTAGTCATCCAGAACTGTCCCCCGTTCCTGGTCTCAGCAGATGTCAGGAAACAGTGCTTCATGACAAGTCTTCAGGGCTGAGGTTCTAAAGATCTCCCAGGTGGGCTGGTCTAATATTAGGCAGGGCAAGGTCTGTGTTGCCAGTGGACAGATGAAGTTCTACCTAGCCAGGAAGACGAGGGAGGAGCTATCTTACTGCTGGATATTCATCGGCTACAGCTTGAGAGCATCAGATGGGCTGGCCTTGTGCCCACTGCTACATCCCCACCTTCTGTGCTTTGGCGAGAAACCACTGCCCCCAACCTCTGTCCTCCCTCCCTGGATGCCACCGTGAAGGGTGGCACAGTCTGAGATGGGTAGCTAAGAGGCTCATCCTCCTCCTAGTCTGTGAGCCAAGTGTGTGGCAGCCCGAAGGAGCTGCTCCAGAAGAAGACATCAGTGTGCAGTCCCTGGGACTAAGGGAGGGCACGACCTCCCAGGGTGGTCTGCCAGTCTATGGGCTGAGGCCCATGCCCCGCCCCCACCACGCACACACACACACGGGCTGGGATGGGTCACCAGGGCACTCATCCCACACCCCCACGTGACTCAGTGGGCAGGAAGCAGATGTCACCTTGGGGCCACTAAGCGACCCCATCCCAGCAAGGCTGACAGCCCGGTCCTGAGGAGCCAGCCCCAGCATGAGGAGTGAAGCCAGGCCCCACGTGGCCTGTGGCTCTGGGAACCAGTATGTCCCTTTGTCTGTCAGGACCTCATTGAGGAGCAGCTGAGCCACAAGGAGAAGCTGTATGTCCTGTCCTTCGGCTCCACCACCAGCGCCCTCTGGCCAGACCCGGTGGGAGTCAGCTCTTCCACGTGAGTGACCTCCCGGCCTTGGCCAGGCTGTCTGCTTGTTCCTTGTCCTCCCCACATGGTGCTGTCTTTCTTGAATGAATACAGTGCGAACCCGAGACCCCAACAGGTGAGTGAGTACAAAGAGACAACTCACAAAGCGGAAACACAGGGATCCGTAACCTTTGGCAAAGCAGACAGCCTTGTGAGCAACCCACAAAATGAAAAGACAAGACAACGGCAAGGCACCATTTTTCTCCAGCAAACTAGCAAAGATAGTTTTGTTATTTTGAAAATAATACATCTTTAAAAATCCACACAGTACGAAAGCAGAATCTCTCTCCACCTCCCAATAACTGTTTCTTCTACCTACTTCCACAATGTGTCACGTACGTGCATCGGTATGCTTATCCTCTTTTACTAAAACATAAACAGGAATGCATTACCCTGTCTTGCACTTTGCACTTGATTTGAATGTCAGTCTCTCTCAGTACACACAGATCTACCTCGTTCTTTTTTAATGGCTGCATAGTATTCCACTGCATAAATGTACTGTGATTTAACTAGTCTTTTATTTGGAAGCTTCTAGTTTGTGGGTTTTTTGGGAGGGGCGTGGGGGGGCAGAGAGAAGATGTGTAAGAATTTCTACTTATGCCAGTAAGTAAAAATTTCTTTTCCATGAAGAGAATATCCTTGATGGCCCAGCAGGTGTTAGGTGCCCTGCTAAGCACTTTTCATGCACTATCTTATTTAATACCTACAGCCAGCAGATGCAGTAGGATTCTTATTCCCATTTTGCCTATGAAAAAATTGGGACTCAGGTTAGGGCGCTTGCCCGGAGTGGTAGAGCCAGGATTGGCTGTCAAAGCCTGGAGCAGATTCCAGGAGAAACCACCTGTATGCATTTCTGGGATGGAGGTCCCCTTGCCCAGCACTAGCTGTAAAGAGGAGCTGTTCTGGCTAGAGCAGGGTCCAGTTCCAACAGCGCTGGCTCTGCATCCTGCTCTGACAGTTACGGGGTGGCCTTGACCAGTCCTTGAACTCTCTTTAGCAGAGTGAGGCCAGGGATACCTACCCCTCACTCAACTCCTGTGAACAGGAGGTGAGGGATAAGCATCTGGCAGGTGGCCGGTACTCGGTGATGAGAGCAGTTTTTTCCTGTGGTTTCCGCTCCAGTTAGACCTCTGATCTCTGGGATGTCAGACCTAGAAGTCACCATGAGGTCATAGGCAAGAGCTTCTCACTGCAGTGATTCCTAGAGACCACTTGTGATTTTGGTCATATCTCTGCCACGTGTACTATTTTGTTTTGTTTTTTTAAGATTTATTTATTTATTCTAGAGAGAGAGTGAGCATGAGTGGCGGGGGTGGGGGGGCGGTGCAGAGGGAGAGGGAGAATCCTCAAGCAGACTCCCTGCCGAGCATGGAGCTTGATGTGGGGCTCGATCCCAGGACCCTGGGACCATGACCTGAGCTGAAGGCAGACGCTTAACCGACTGAGCCACACAGGCGCCCTGACGTGTACTATTTTAAAACATCAACTCTACATGTATTATTGAAGGGAACTATCAGTACCATAACAAGAAGCCCGTATCACTTGCCATAATTAGAATGCAGTCATCACAATAAATACAGTGAAAGCAAATAAACAATGATATCAAATTCCAACTTGAAACCTATCGGCCTGGAGAAGGCTGTAGGCCTGGGATCTGCTCTCCCTTTGTGTAGAAAGGAGACTGAAAGGTTATAATAACGAAGGACAGACTTACTGGCCACGAGCCAGTAAATTTTATTGTCATTTTTATTTTATTAGTCAGACAGAAAGAGAAATGGAAAGAGCAGAACTCTCTCACTGGTATGCTGTGAGATATTTAAACAAGAAAGCGTGAAGCCGCTTTCCCTCTTTGGGCTGGGGTGCATCCCAGCGCATGCGAGATGCAGCCACACGGCCAAGGCGCCTCCTCTTGGAGCCCTCTCGGGGTCAGGGGATGAACTCTGCATTGGGGGGAGTGTGTGGTGGCTTGGGGCGCAGAGAAGGAGCTTAGCCCAGAACCTCTGATCGCAGAGTCGCTGGAGTCCAGCCTGGTTTGAAATCCCAGAGTTGGCCAGTTGCTTATGGGATCAAATCCTAACTCCGTTTTCTCATGTATAAAATTGGAAGAAATGTATTCCCCTCAAGAATTATTGTTAGCCTGGGGCGCCGGGGTGGCTCAGTCGGTTGAGTGTCTGCCTTCGGCTCAGGTCATGATCTCAGGGTCCTGGGATCGAGTCCTGCATCGGGCTCCCTGCTCAGCGGAGTCTGGTTCTCCTTCTCTCTCTCCCTCCTCCCTTCTGCTCATGATCTGTTTCTCTCAAATAAATAATTGTTAGTCTGAAACGAGCTCATGTCTGTCCTCGGCCTGGCACCTCGGCAGAGCACTGTGGTGAGGTGTCTGCTGTCTCCACAGCCTCCAGGAACTCAGGCTCTGGGTAAAGAAGCTGCAGCCTGACGGAGGCAGCAATTTGCTACAAGCCCTGAGGAAGATCTTCACCCTGAAGGGGCTGAATTCTCTGGTGACCATAATGGGAAGCTGGTAGGTCTCCTTTCCTACATGGGTAACAGACCGCACGCACAAAGGGGGCTGGAGAACCAAAAACCATCACGCAGGACCCTTCACACACACTGAGAGAAGGATTTCGTTCATAGGCCGTCCGTCCCTAGGTGTTGGGCAGGGCAGCCAGGGCAGGCCAGGCCTGCAGTCCACTCTACCTTGCATCTTCCAAGCGACCTGGGACACAGGTTGTCAGTTAGATTTGGTAGATATTCCCATTTTCTCTGGAATGTCCTCCACGTGATTTGACCTGGGGCACCCCCTTTTCTTCTTCTGTTTTCTCCCCAGCCCAGATCAGCCTTCTGAAATTCTGTCCAGCTACATCCAACAGTCCACCATGGGAAAGGGCCTCATCACCCACATCGTCACCTACAAATGCAACAATCAGGTGCCCCTTGTAAGTACCTGGGATTCTCCAACGTTTCCCTTGGATTGGCCACAGTGATCTAGCTGGGCCATCTTGGAGGCTCCACGCATGGATAGCCCCCCACCACCAAGCTGTGGACCAGAACATGACTCTCCTTGTACCTGCTTCTTCCTTTGGGCAGTTGGGAGGTTCAGTCAAGGAGAAGCTTGTGGGAATACTAGCATTGCCCCGGTGAGGATGCTGACCCTGTCACCATCCCCACAGGCTGTCCTAAAGAACCTTGCAGAAGCTCTTGGGGGCTACCACCACTGCTACAGCCCAGAAACAGAGGTAAGCCCTTCTGCCAACGCGCTGCCCCTCTCCTCCCTCCCTGCCTGCCTCCAAGCCTGTGCCTGGGGGACCTGGGCCAGGACAGACCATGCTATGTACTTGCTTCCCCTCCCTGCTGCCGTGTTCAATGGGTTTGCACAAGTATAATCAGGTTAAGATGAATATGGGAAGAACAGCGACAGCATGAAGTCACAAGAGATCCTTTGCTCAGCATGCATGATGAGTGGATTGCACACCAGTGAGCCTAGAGGCCTTTTAAAGCCTAGCTGGTCGAATCCTGAATCTCTATCCAGTTGTCATCACCATGGGGTCCAACACCACCTCTGCTCCCACCAAAGCGGAGTCTGAAACAGCTGCCTCAGGTCTTCCTCCAAGATACGTCCCTGCTACTGCAGGGGACCCGCAGCAATCAATTCTGAATGAACGATCAGTTCTGTACCAGTCCACCCATTAGTATCCTTGTCCCAGTTAATCGTAGCATCACACACCCTGTGTCCACACTGGAGGTAACAATTAGCAAGTGTGCATGTGGACCACTGGCCGATTGAGAATCCACTGTCTGTTCAGCTCGCAGGCTGTGTCACCTGAAACCATCGGTAGCCTTAAGCCAAATAATATTTGTATCTTACAGTGTTCAAGCGTCACAAAGTCTAGCATTTCGCACCAAGGAGCCAAGGTCAGACAACATTTTCCTTGGTTTACACCCCTCTGGTTACATAATTTCCCAAACTCTTGTTTGTTGAGGCCACAGATCACAGGGGCTAGGAAGGTACTGTAAATGAACAAAACCGGCTGGTTTAAGAAGTCTTTTTTTAAAAGATTTTTTATTTATTTATTTGACAGTGAGAGAGAGAGACAGCGAGAGCAGGAACACAAGCAGGGGGAGTGGGAGAGGGAGAGCAGTCTTCCCGCGGAGCAGGGAGCCCGACACGGGGCTCGATCCCAGGACCCCAGGATCGTGACCTGAGCCAAAGGCAGACGCTTAACGACTGAGCCACCCAGGTGCCCCAAGAAGTCTTTTATTTTACGGGAGCCTGGGTGGCTCAGTCGGTTAAGTGTCTGACTCTTGGTTTCGACTCAGGTCGTGATCTCAGGGTCCTGGGATCGAGCCTGGCATTGGGCTCCCTGCTCCGTGCGGAGTCTGCTTCTCCCTCTGCCCCTCCCCCAGTTCATGCATGCTCTCACTCTCTAAAATAAATAAACCATCAAAAAAAAAAAAAAAGAAATCTTTTATCTAAAAACCCGTGGCCCTCTTGGCTTCTCTATTGTTTTTCTTCATAGAGATATGAGTACAACAAATATCATTGTCTTATTTTAATATAAGCAGAAAACAGTAGAAGGATAACAAAAAACTTAAGCTGACTCAGAGGGGTGGGGGGCAGCAGAGAGTGGGTGGAGCTGTGGAAGACTAGGTAGCTCTTACCCCATCTAGAGAGACACCTCTGCTCAGCCCTTGGCCCATCCCCATCGTTGCTCTGGAGGAGTGTGACCCCCATGCTGCTAGGTATTCCAAGGAGCCAGAAATCTGGATTTGTATGTATGTGTGACTTCTTTTTTAAATGGAGATGAAATTCACATAACATAAAGTTCCCCACTTTAAAGTGAACGATTAGCAGCACTTAGCACATTCACAATGTTGTGCAACCACCACCTCTATCCAGTTCCAAAACATTTTCATCCCCCCAAAAGAAAATTCTGTACCTGGGGCACCTGGGTGGCTCAGTCAGTTAAGCGTCTGCCTTCGGCTCAGGTCATGGTCCCAGGGTCCTGGGATTGAGCCCCACATGGGGCTCCCTGCTCAGCAGGGAGCCTGTTTCTCCCTCTCCCTCTGCCTGCCTGTCTGCCTGCTTGTGATCTCTCTCTCTCTCTGTGTCAAATAAATAAATAAAATCTTTAAAAAAAAAAAAAAAGAAAATTCTGTACCCATTAATCTGTTACTCCCCCTTTCCCCTCCCCCACAGCCCCTGGAAACCACCAACCTGCTTTCTGTCTCGATGGAGTCACCTATTCTGGATATTTCATATAAATGGAATCATACACCTTTTGTATCCTGTCTTCTTTCCATTAGCGTCATGTTTTGAAGGTTTATCTATGTTGTAGCCTGTCTCAGAGCTTCATTCTTTGTTATGGCTGATTTATTGTCTAGATCCACAACCTTCTGTGTGTCCATTTATCCACTGATGGACACTTGGGTTATCGCCACCCTTCGGCTGTTGTGAACTGCTATGAACATTGCTGTACAAGTATCTGAGTCCTCGTTTTCAATTATTTGGGGTATCTACCTACAAGGGGAACTGCTGGGTTATATGGTAATTCTGTGTAGACTTCTTTGAGGAACCACCAGTCTGTTTCCCACTAGCAGTGGGCAAGTGTTCTGGTTCTCCCCATCCTCACCAACGCTTCCATAGCCAGTCCAGTGGGTATAAAATGTTTCTTCATATCTTTAAGGTTAGAAAACCCTTCAGTTATTTAATAACACTGCAGGCCAGTACTATAGAAATGGAACACAACAGGTTTGCAGGCTCTATCCGGCACATGGACCCTAGTTTATAACGTCTGGCTTAACCAATCCGCCACTCAGCTTTAGGAAATGACATGACTGCTTGCCCTTTCCTGAGTTGGCCATGGCTAGCAGCCAAGTGACCTCTAATGGCTGATTGCTCCTACTACCCCCAGGTCTACACCAGCTGGGACATGGACCAGCTGCTGGAAGAAATCCAGAAAGCCCAGAGCCTCCTGGGCCACCTCCAAGCCTTGCGCCACAGGACCCCCTGTGAGGAGCTAACCAGCATGATGAAGGAGGTAGGTGGTGTAGGGGAAGATTCTGGAGCTGGCCTCACTCCATCCTTCTTTCTCACCCGTCTCTCTGAGGGCATAGCTGCCAAAGCCCCCGTGTGCTAACAGAAATAAGGCAAAGCCCTGCCCTTTGTTGTACCCCACAGCTCTGAGCTGCGTGGTCCTTCCACTGTGCCAGAAGGATCCTGATGGATTTTCTAACTGAAAAATGTATTTCAGAGAAAGGCCAGCAGGCTCCTGCCACCCCACCCACCTCCCACTGTCCCCTCCCTACCCCCCAGTTTGGAGAAGGATGAACACCTCACCCACACAGAGTGGGCTGTCTTGAAGATGGTCTTTGCTACCTAGCGCTTCATTTGGGGCAAACGTCCCTGCGTGGCGACTTGATTATTGTAACATCAGCAAAATAACTCAGCCAGCTCATGGGCGACGCACCATAAGAGCTCTGAGCTGTTTAGATCAGGCAGAAAACTTAACTGTGGACAGGAGGCACTGAGAATGCGCTTATAGCTTCACCAAATGAAGGCATGGCTGTGACGTACAGAACATCTTGGTCCGGCTGGACGCAGTGGAAGAGACACCGCGCCTAGAAACCGGAATCTTCCAATTCGGTTCCAGCTCTTCTACTGAGTATCTATAAATCATAACAACTGTTGTATTATAATTAGAAGAGTTCTCATTTACTGAGTGCTCATTCTAAGATAGACACAATGATTAATTCTTTAAACGTCTTATTTTAGCATAACAACAACAGTCTGCTGTAGATATATTATTACCCCCATTTTACTGATGAGGAATCTGAAGTCAGAAGGCTAAATAATTTGCCTCAGATCCCAGAGACAGAGACAGATGAAGTTTGAATTGAACCCAGGTCTGTCTGATGTCAAAACCTCAGCCAGGAGTTTCCTACAATGCAATGCATGTATTACTCATGGTTTGCAAGACAATTACAAAGTAGTACATGAATTAATTTTTTTTAATGTTGTGTATTTAAAACTAACTCATTATGGTAGTAATACATCTTCTTTCTAAAATTATTTGAGTACAAAAAAGGGAGTCAATTTTTAAAATTAGATCAAATTAACAATTAAAAAGCTTTAATGTTACACATTTGGTTTATTTTTTTAAAGATTTTATTTATTTATTTGTTTATTTTTAAAAAGTTTATTTATTTATTTGAGAGTGTGGCGGGGGGGACAGAAGGAGAGGGAAAGAATCTTAAGCAGGCTCCACACCCAGCATGGAGCCCAACACGGGGCTTAATCTCATGACCCTGAGATCATGATCTGAGCCAAAATCAAGAGTTGGATGCTTAACTGACTAAGCCACCCAGGCACTCCTAAAGATTTTGTTTTTTTAAGTAATCTCTACACCCAACGTGGGCCTTGAACTCACAAGTCCAAGATCAAGAGTCACATGCTGTACCAACTGAGCCAGCCAGACGCCCCTGTATTTGATTTATTTTTAAAAAAATTCTAGGTGTGCCTGGCTGGCTCAGTCAGGGGAGCATGCAACTCTTGATCTCGGGAGTTTTGAGTTCAAGCTCCATGTTAGGTGTAGAGACTACTTAAAAGTAAAATCTTTAGGGAAACTTGGGTAGCTCAGTCAGTTGAGCATCTGGCTCTTGATTTTGGTTCATGGTCATGATCTCAGGGTCATGGGATCGGGCCCTGTACTGGGCTCCATGCTCAGCACAGAGTCTGCTTCTCTCTCTCCCTCTGCTTCTGCCCCCATTCTTTTTTTCTCTCTCTCTTTCAAATAAATAAATAAAATCTTTAAAAACAAAAGGGTAAAATCTTTTTAAAAATTCTAAATAACAGTACAGTGGTATTCAGATACAGGAAAATTCATGAAGGCAGTGCTCAAATGTCTAAAATTTGGGAATTGTTGTTCTCTGTCTTATTTATACATGACTTATGACTTAACATCTCAGAACCTCAGGCTTTCAGTTTGTAAATGTGGGTGAGGGGAGGCTGGACTAGACCAGGGCTCCTGAAATGATCTAGTGTAGGAGTTACTTTTTACTTCTTCGAAGCCTTGTGTTAGGAGCTCATGGAGGGGCCACCAGCCATCTTGGAGCCCAAGGTGATGATCTTGATGGTAAGGGTGGGGAGGGGCCAGGAGCATGGACAAATCAAAGAGGAAGCAAGTTGCTGGGGACATCTTCTTACCCTGGAAATTCCAGCAATCTCCCGAGAAGGGGATGGGGATGGTGGGAGGGGAAGGCAGAACTGCCTTTAATTTACCTGGTAATGTTTTCAGATGCTCCACTTAGGGGACCTGGGTGGGTTGGGGAGACTAAGGGCTTCTCAGCTCTAAAATATGATTTTGTAATGAAGCCTTTTAAATTTAATTTAGATTTCCACAGAGATTGCAAAAGGTCCACTCACAGGTCTCTTGCCTAAACCCCCAAAGCATGAGGGTCCCCTCACAATTGAGTTCCCAAACTTGGACAAGACTTCTGCAGAATGGCTAAAGATCAATGGCCTAAAAGGTAAGTCCCCAAAGAGGGCAGAACCCAGGACTCAGGTGACTGACGAAAAGGCATAAACCCTCTGGGGCTTCAAGAACTGTATCTCAAACACCACTGTTTATTTTTACAGCCAAAAAGCTAAGCCTTTATCAGGTTCTGGCACCCAATGCATTCTCTCCTGTGAAGGAATTTGTGCCTATTCTCCAGAAAACAGTATCTTCAACTATCCATGAGGTAACTCAGATTCAGAGTTCTTTCCAGTCCTCTGCAGGGGGGCTCCTCTGTGACCTTTCCCTTCCTTTTTTTTTTTTTTTTAAAGATTTTTTATTTGACAGAGAGAGACACAGCGAGAGAGGGAACACAAGCAGGGGGAGAGGGAGAGGGAGAAGCAGGCTTCTCGCTGAGCAGGGACCCCAATGCAGGGCTCGATCCCAGAACCCTGGGATCATGACCTGAGCCAAAGGCAGATGCTTAACAACTGAGCCACCCAGGTGCCCCTGACCTTTCCGTTCTTAAATGTCTAGGAAATACGAGTCATAAGTCAGAGCACGAGGAGCTGGGGTCTGAGGGCCTGGAGTGGGATGCAGGCTTTCCAGAACTTTCTAGAACTCTCATCACATCTACTCTAACTGCAGTTTTGCAAAGATTTGAACCTAAACTCTGGAAGATGGAGCAAGAGGGAGCAAGTCAGGGATAAGGGAGCAAGTCGCCTCCTCCTTGAAGGTTTTCCTCCATGCACTCTGAACACACTTGCTCTCCTTGTGTCCTCACTGTACCTGGTACACACTTCTGCCCTAGCTCCTATAATGTGTTAACGTGTGTACTTATTACATGTCTAAACCCCCACCACAGTAGGAGACTTTAAAAGAACAAACTCTCTTCTCCAACCCTGTATCCCCAATATCTAGTACAAGCAAGCAGCCGATGAATGTTTCCCAGATGGCTGACTGGGTGGAAGGAAGGATGGAAATGTAAACATATGGAACTATGGAGGGGAAAAAATGGAAGGATGAATGACAGAATAGAAAAGGATGGAAGGATGGAGAAATGGAAGGAGAGCATAATAGGCGAAGAGAAAGGTCAATGGAAAGATGGAAGAACCAAAGAGAAGAGGGATAGATAATTGTAGCATCAGATTGATGAGTGACTAGGTGGGTCATGACGACTTGGTGGAGGATGAAAAATTAGATTTTCCAAGTGCCCATGAAGGCCTATCCGGGTTCCCAGTATGTTTTAAGGTCTCCGACTCTGCTACTACAAAACCTCCAACCATAGGTTGTATCAAGACTCCGATGTTTGGAAGACCCTCCTCAGAAGGCAGCCTGGCTTGCTCTCAGGCATGGTGCACTCAGGGACCACTGTCCTGAAGGCCCTCTGCTGCCATGACCAGGGACGCATAATGTGACCCCAGATGTGCTCGAAGCCCATTTCCCTCTCACACATCTGATTTGGAGAGCCCAGTGCCCAAATTAAACTTAACAATCCTTCCCCGCATGTGCTCTGTTCACCTGCCACCCATCCTGGCCACACCTGAGTGCAGAGGGCAATGGTCCAGTTTGAATGGCATGACGGGACAGTGAAGAATGTTCACGTGGACCTGCCCTTCCTCTGTGAGTACCAGGTTAGTAATGGGTCCACTTGGTCAGCATATGGGGTTTGGGAAGAGGGGACAAGAGGAAGGTGCCATGGAATTTGGAGACACCAAGCCATTGATCAAACTTCCTCTTATAAACAGACTGTGCTCTGCCTCCAGGTACCTCTGGAGCTTTCTCCACCTGCTTCCCAGGCAGGGACCTGTCAAACAAACAAAAGTCTCTGATCTTTTGGGGCAAGATCTGCTTCCTCTCCCCTTCCAGGCAATGAAATATGTGGACTCTTCTCTTCCTGGTCTTGTGGCAGACTCACCCAGGATTCAGTGAAATGTTTATACTGCCTGGATACCCATGGCCCCATTCCTAGAAGCCAACCTTGCCCCACAGACCCCTTAATTGGCCATCCTTTCGTCAGTCGCTCACTCTGTGTGGCCCATGGGTTTGCAGAAACAGCTCAGCAGAGCTCTGCGGATGTACGAGAGACGGATCGAGTGGCTCTCCTTGGCCAGCCGAAGAATCTGGGGCACCGTCTGTGAAAAAAGGTACCTTCCCTCAAGTAGTGCTCTTGTCCTTTCTGAGTCCCATGTGTGACATAAGCACTTTTCCAACTCATGAATTCCCTGTTGGTAGCATCAGAAACCATCCCTCAGATTAAGGATCAACCATCACTCAGCAGAACCCCTAGAGGAAGAAGTCACCACTACCATCATCAAAATCAATACTGTCATCATTGTGTTACTCAGGATTCTTTCAGTTAAAAAGCAACAGAAATGGGGCGCCTGGGTGGCTCAGTCGTTAAGTGTCTGCCTTCGGCTCAGGTCATGATCTCAGGGTCCTGGGATCGAGCCCCACATCGGGCTC